CTGGTTCAAAAGGAAGATCATGAGTTCTGTGGGATTACCTAGAGACTATTGGTTTTCTTGTGCTTAAATTAAACGTGGTTTTGGCAGGGAAGGTTTTGAAAGGAAAAAAAAAAGCAGCATTGCAAGTGGTGAAGTCCGAGTGTTCATTTCCTGTGAATATCTGATAGCTGTGGTTGTTTTGTAATAGCACTCTTTGTGTGAAGGAGGCACGGCCTGTGTGGGAAAAGTTTATATATGAAAAAAGGATCTAGTGGCTGAGGCGGGAAATACTGTTTTGTCCACATTCTAAAAATGGGATTGAAATGATTCATAAAATGTGTGCGCTTTCCTGTTCAAGAAGGAGCTTGAAAGTAATTTTCAGCTCAGTCCCGACCTGTAGGTTTCCTTCATCATCAGAGCTGTTGCTAACTCAGATGTGCTGGTAATGGAAGCCGGGAGCACCGCGCCGGCCGCTGCCCTCAGAGGCTATTAAGAAATGAGGCTCGATGGGTTTGTTCTGTGAGAGTGTGGGGCTCTGCCGTCGTGTTGCGGGATGGCAGGAAGGGCTGCCTGTTAAAGTCGTCCTGAGCAAGCACGGCTATAAAAGAGACCGGGGCAGGAAGATGGAAAACAGATGAAGTGGTTGTACGTCCTCTAGAGAACCGTGCTTCTCTGGAGGACAGAAGAGATCTAATCACCTTTAATTTTATGAAACGCTAACAACAAAAAAATGCTTATATAGTGCATTTTTCATAAACAGTCACTTTAAAAATGGAAATTCTGTTTTTTTTAAAAAACTTAATTTAAATGGATGCAGTGCAACAAACAAGCACCCTTTAAAACAGTCATATACCGACTGACTGGAAGCAAGTTACGCTTTTTGCATTTTTTTTCTTTGTCATTTTCCTTCTCAGTTGTTGTTCTTTTTCTTAATCTTTAAGTCTGTAATACTTGACATGGCCATTGTGGAGATTAAAGGGGTATGAACTCCGCTTGGTTTTCTGTTTACTGCTACGGCCTCCCTTCTGTCCCACTGTTTTTCTGGAAGCAAGAAACCGGTGTCTTGTATTGCTATAGAGTTGCATGATTCCCCTCAAGCTCCATTTTTGACATACAGGCGAGTCATTTCAAGGTAAGGAATTTTGTTTCTACCCTCCCTTTATTGATCAGGTTATGTAACTCCTAGGTTGGGCCATTTGAAGAAGTCATTTGAAGACTTCTTTTCTGTTTGTTCTGAACCCGCTACACACTTAGATCTACAAATTGCATTACTCTTCAATGTAAAATTAACTTATTTGACAAGTTCCAGTAATATATATATATACATATATATATATATAAAGGTTTGGTAGGCAAGGAATTCCATTTTATTCCCTTTTTGTTCTGCTTTTCTATTTTGCTTGTGTTATCTTGATTGGTGCTTAGTCTTCTGTGAGCATACCTTTAATGCATCCTTTTGGTTCCTGTAATATAGCCGAGGCTTTAACAGAAAACAATTGTATAGTTTGAGGACACGTAATGGGCTACTAGAAGAAATATTTACATCTGGCATGATCAAAGCTTTGGAGTATATGAGTGTGTATGTGGGAGGTCTAATTTTTATGTGGGTGGATTAAGAAAGATGACTAAAACACTGAAGTACTTAACCCCTTTCCCTTTATGAAAATTCACTTCCTGAAAATGAAAAAAACATGTAGTACCTGATTTTTATCTGCTGTTTTTAATTTCAAGGAGTATTAATTCTTCTATGTGTAACTACTTGCTTGAGGCATAGAGAATTTCGGGTATTTCAGCCTCTCTAATGGCTTATTTAACAAGATGTTTATCTTGCTCATGAGGTTTGTGCGTGTTGGAACATATTTATGTTCTAGATTTAGTACAATTTGATACTCTGTAGGACTGTGCTGATAGGAGCACTGTTATATTTTCCGGTGTTTGGTAATAGCTAGCTCTTCAGGTTTGATTTTTGCGATTTTGTGGTAGTAACTAGCTATGAGTGGCTTCTAGAAATCGGTCGTTTGAGTTTCTTTTCAAACAGTTATTTAAGACAAATAGTTACTTGCATCCTAAAAAGATATTAATAACCATTTGAATCATCTCTCTCAGCATTTCATTTACATGTTTCTGAAGGTGAAATCTCAGATCACAGCTGATCCGAACTAGCAGCTCCT